GTTTTTATTTATTATCATCACTTAGTCTTCGCTCCGCTGTTCTTCACTAGCATAACACAGCAACAGGCAAAATAGAATGTGGCTTTGCTCAGATGTAACTGACGTCCTCCGCTGTCATTGCCGTAGTGCTTGGTGTATGATCCTCGTATTATCTATTTCTTTACTATTATTTATATACGTGATAATCTTTTCCTCTTTTTGTTTTATTATCAACTCGATCGAGTTCATCATTAGCGTTATCATAATCACTTTTATTTCTCCACTACAATTGTCTTCACGTTGTTGTTGTGTATTTCTATCTGCAAATCCCTTCTCTTTGCATTTATGTATGTACGTAAATTTTTGTGTGTTCGAAATGTTTTCTATTGTGTTTGGGCATGTTTTTACGGCTCACCGGTAGATGGCGCCGCCCCGATCGATAGGTTTTTCTGCTCCTCCTGTTTCTGCGTTTACTCGGCAAAATCGGGTGGGGCCATCGTCACATGGCTAGAGAGACACACACACACACACACACACACACACACACACACACACACACTAGACACACACACACACACACACAGACACACACACACACACACACAGATACACAGATCACACAACAGACGCCCATTTATTCACGCACTCATGCCATGTTCATGTTGTGTTCCATCTTTCAGGAGTGGATTTTTGGGTGGGCAGAGGAAAAAGCGCTCACACAAGAGCAATTGCGAATATACACCAATATCATTACTTGATCATTATCATTGACAGTTCTTAACATCATTTTCATTATCATTATAATAGTAATTATCTATTTCTGTCTCATTAGATTGCTTAATATGTACACGGCACTATGGATTTATGTTGGCCGGACGGGCTCGCTGTTCAGTGCAGCGCGTTAACGTGAGCGAGTCACGCTTTGAGCCATTCGAAACACACGTATATTACGTCTTTCGTTTTTCTTTCTTTACGCTGACAGTTGTATCAGAATCAGTTTTATGCTTTTCTGTCTGGTATATTGAATCCCGAGGAGCGCACCACTTAGTAATTGTTTCTGCATCAATCAATCAATCAATCATGAAGAATGAATGAAGGGAGAACGAGTATTGGTTAGAAGAACTCGTCCACGCCAGCAAACGTCAAGTACAGCGCCTAGTTGCAGTATTTCATTGATGTCTACCTAAAAGATTGAGGACTCGCTCCCTGTGTAACCTTACATGTTGTTACATATTTCAGTACATGCAGCTCATTTCCAAGCATTTCACCTGTGGTAGTTTTTTGCACTTTTACGCGAGTAAGTGCGCAATCCGTCCGCTCGAACGACTAGGCGCCAATCGCAATTTACCAGGAGTAAATGCACTCAATAATTATCGTAGACAGTTACTTTATAGATATTGACGTATGTCGTCAAAGTTACGCGTGTATGTTATGCGCTGTCCCCATACGCGTGAGCGAAGGCGCCGGTGTCAAGACAACCAGCGCCTTTGCCCACGGTGTACCCGAAGCCAACGCGGCTCGATCTGACCGACCCGTTCGTCTCTGTATCTGAGATTGCCATAGGAACTGTTGCGCAATCAGATACTGCTGGGCGCTTGGCTGTTCAGCCGATCGGTCGTTACGATCACCGTAGTGGACATTGCCTCGCAAGTACTTCGAAGTCTGGTACACACGTTTGAAGATAGGCAGATAGATTAGTTCGTGGCTAATCGTCGAGATTGAATGATGCTGATCCTTCGTTTTATTTATACAGAATCATAATACAGCAGAAGTCATATAACAGCCGTAGTGCTCGAGATTAGATGCACGCGCACGTCGTTCCGTTCCGCTGCGCTGCTGCCACCCGCTCCTGGCAACTGTTCGCTGGCTCCGATTGGGACTTTCGCTGGCCGGCGAACGCGACGACAAGAAAAAATGTTCGTAATAAATTATTAATATAATATAATATATATCGGCACCATGATAATTATTACAAATTAATATTTGCTCTGCAATTTCCATTCCTGCTTTTATAATAGTCTGTATTTGCATTGTATCTGGAGGGTTATCAGCCTTTAGAGTACTACTGCTACGATAATTATCGCTATTACTAGAATAATAATAAATAAGTTATTAATAATATAATCATCACCGTGTCGTTATTCTATATAATTATAGTATTTTCTTACACGTATGTATAATTTGTCAGATCTTCTCGATTTTTTTTGTCTACAGCAGTCTCGAATGCCGTCGCCGCCTCTACCGATCTCTATTTGCGACTATTTGACACACGAGGCCAATAGACAAAGTAACGCACTCGTCTATGTCACGGTTACATCATTTGTCATTATTAATATTATAATATATTACATTGATATTATGGTTATTATAATTATCGTTAGCTTACTTCGCCGTTTTACCATGCTTCATCCCTAGCCTTCTCCTTAAAATTTTTATATATATATATAGTTCATCCGTTTCAACTCTGAAGCTAGTCGTCGAGGCAACAATAGCCATTGCTTTTTCATTTGTTGCTATTTATTGTTACATTATGGAGGTGTCCGACTTTATTCAGCCTAGGGCATCCCGAATCGACACCGATCGATCTGCATAATTTTCCTAAGTCTGTATAAACTAAGATCTTTACTAATTAGTGACGCGTCAACAAGAACAGCAAGATTTAAGACGGTTACACGATTCCTGTTGCGTATAACAGTACTTCAATTTTATGACAAAATTTCAATTTCCCACCTGCTGCTAATAAATTTATTTCAGTTTATTTCAACACACTTTTTTTTAGAAAGATATGTAACGCTTGTTGTTTTTCTTCAGTAATTGCTCACCATAGCTTTATTCCTTCAGTTCAGATAAGGAAAACGAAAAAAAAACAAAAGGAATAATGCACATATCTGCATTGATACAACACATCGATGCACATCAAATTAGTACATTTGTATAGATATATTATACATAGTGGCTATGTAATGTTCCGTAACATAGCGAGCGACACCGAACGTCTCAGCCTGATTTTTATTAACAGCGGACAAAGTCTATAGTAAGCCCATTCAGGGCCCCTTTCGACGTCCTGTGTGTAGGAGGTCATCTGAGGTAAGTTTCCGCCGGATGACAAGAATTATTAAAATTATACAATACAATAGCGTCATTATTATTAAACCTTGCCTAAAAACTTGCTCCGGCTATTGATAATTAGTTTTATTCGACCTAGCTGACATTCGGCTCGCACAACTTCGCCTGGGGCAATGGCCTATGCCTAGTGATACTTCACCCCTCCATGTCGTTCTCTCGTGTTTCTGTCCCTTCTCAGTCTCGGATGTTAGTAATGATGAAGAAGACTAAGGGAGTCCGCACCGAGCAGCGACTTACAATCACTCTCTACCAACCTAACAAGTTGCCGCCGCTGCCACGGCCGTTGGCCATACATCAATATGGCCGGACCCTGAAACAGAACGGGCCAGAGAGACCTAGGAAGTTTGGGCTCGCCCATGGTTCTCACTTCCACATATATATAGATCTATATATACGTATGTATTTGTCCTAACTAACATGAGTGGGTTCTAATAACGTTTCAATTGATGCGAGCTATCTGCCCGATAAACGTGGTTATATCCACAGCCTTTTTATTGCACAGCCTACCGTTAAGCCCGGCCATGCCGGGACCGTCCCCAAAAATAACTCGAGCCTCTCTGAAGTTTTCGTTCATTTGAATGAAAAGGTGGAGATGCTAATGGGTCGAACGCGAGAAAAACCACAGACGTTCAATCTATCCCGTATGGCAGTAGCCAAAGAATGGGGTAGAAAGCGACCAGTAAATATAGCTTTTGCTGCGAAAACTATCTTCAGATTAAGCAAAACGTACATTTAAGATGCACCAATAGCTTATTCCTATGAATTCTTTGGACACTCTTCAAACACGTATCAAAATGTATATTTGAATGAATTTTTAGCTCTGCCTTGTTATCGCTTTAGCTTTTTCTCAGGATAATAGATAAGAAAATCTGTCAAAAGTGCTAGGGCCCAGCATATGTATCACCGCACATACACATGTGCTGCTGTTTGGCCAGTATTTATAGAAAGAGACACCATCCCGTCTCCATCTGCTCACCCTGGATGGTCAGACAACGATCATATGACCACTCGAAAAATAGACAAAGCTCACGCGTTGATTGTACCTTCCTAACCCAAACTTTGATCCTGGGTCTATACCTAAACATCCTGACGTATGGCCCTCAACAAATCTTCGAAATGCAAGTTATAAGACAAGTTGTTTTTTTTTCAATATAAGTTGTTAAATTATAGGGTTTAGCGTGTGGTTCATTTGCACGGTTGAATACTAATGAGGGCTTCGTTTGTAAGAGTTTTAAGCGTTCACACAGCTGTTTAGTCCGATCTGCATGTAATCTTGCTATGCTTATTTCTACCTGGTATGTTACGCGGATACGTAAAACAACATGACGCATAAGTTGGTCAGTCAAATAGAAATTTCAAACCATGCGATGATACGTCTGGCCTTCAAGCTTGTACATATATCTTTTTAGCACTTCTGCTCTGCATTACTAATTTGTTTTGCAGTGGTAGTTCTCTGATTAAACGATATCAACAATAGGAGGCTAATGAGACTATATGGATGTAGCTTTGCGGTTGATTGAAACAGAATCTTGCACCAGCTTTCACTCTTTTACTGCTGTTGGGCTAGAGTGAACTGGAGGTTTACACACATCATGTAGACGCCACCAGAGGGCAATGCGTTGCCCCTCGTCCGTGGTTATCGTTGATAGATGGTCTCTGATTTCGCATCTCCTCTTACCACCTTCTTCGTTGAGGATCTCCCTTCGACGGATTCCAGTATGCTTTATTTGTTTAGCCATATGTCCTGTAGTCCTCACTAGTTCTGTTCTGTCTCTTGTTGTGGCTGAAAAGCCTCGCTCGTTGTTCGTTCTTCGTCAAACACACTAGTAGTAGTAGCAGTAGTAGTAGTAGTAGTAGTAGTAGTAGTAGTAGTAGTAGTAGTAGTAGTAGTAGTAGTAGTAGTAGTAATAGTAGTAGTAGTAGTAGTAGTAGTAGTAGTAGTAGTGGTAGTAGTAGTAGTAGTAGTAGAAGTATTATCGGGACTAATATTCCAACGTTCGTCTTCGTTCTTCTGTTCGGCCCCATCTTAGAGATCATCATCCTCATCGTCGTCGTCATCATCAGGATCATCGGGAGACACGTTTGCCACAGCGGAACCGATGCTACCTAGGGGCAATGGCGGAAGCAAGTGGTGGCCGATTCGGTTGCTGTTGCTACTGCTGCTAATCGAGTTGTTGTTATTGTTGTTTATAGTGCTGCCACCGGTGCCCTGCAGGGGTCCAATAGGCCCTAGCACCGAACCAAGCGAATGACCGCCTTGGCCCATTTCAGGCGGTCCGTGTCCACCTACAGGCGGATGATACTGCAATCAGCTGTAGGGCCCTCCGTTGAGCGCGTGGTGAGCCTCTAGCGATGTAACAGGCTTGCCGTCAGCCAAAATGGCGGTCACCTCGGATGGTGGGCATTTATTTAGTCCCATAGAAGGAATTAGCCCGTTCTGAAGCTTGCTTTCTTTTTTTGCTTTCATGCGACGGTTCTGTAATGAGGCAAAAAGCCGAAATAAATAAAAATATATACGTACGATATTAGTTGAGTCGTCATTTAGCCTCTAAATAAAACGATGTCATTTGTCATTATATAGAAAAAAAAAAACTTTTCCGTGTTTTATACTAGGTACTTAAGCTATCTTGTTTTCAACACGAGACAAACCACATCTACACCCGGATTTGAGCCTAGATCACCACGTGCTCTCTAGTTTAGCAGGCTAAACACATTACTCACTACACTACCATAGAGATCTATACCGAGAAAAGCCTTTAGTCATCACCATAAACAGCATTCGTGATTAAGATGTTCGACGAGGCAAGAAAAATGTACAACGGATACAAAGTTATATGAACATATAATACGCTTTAAGTTAGACACAGATGTGCCCATGTTCAGTTTCCAAAGTATTAAGGTCGATTACGATGATAAGAAATCTTTGAATAAGTCTTTGACAAAGCGGACCCGAAATTTCACCAGGACAGTGTATGCGCTTGCTAAGTGAACGCGTATAACACATTATGTAACTTCTATCTACGAGAACGTTGAAATTGCTCAGTGCACGCTAAACGTGACAACATCGCAAAACTGAAAATGTGAGTAAAGTCCTAAATAACAAAAGTCTGTCTTAAAAGTTAAATTACTTAATGTATGTTATATGTTTCGTCTGTCTTCGTGATTGTCCGACGAGAATTAATTACTATACCAAAATTAACTGTACTCCTTTTGGGAAAACAGAGGAACTCCAACGCTCTTATACGCATGACCGTTTTGTTACTAGTATATTTGCGCTCTGTTTCGTCCACGAGTTTCAAGCTATCATGAAGCGAAAATTCGGGATAGAAAGTCATATATTTCTCATAAATGTGTTCACTGCTGTATATTGTATGCTAGTTGGGCTCTCCAGCTGAAAAAGCAGTTCCCACTCACGCAAATCTCCAAATTGTCCTCGCCTTTCCTAGGGTAACTTGCTCTTGCACTACTTTTTAACTGCTCAAAGAAGCAAATGGACAGACAGGTAGAACAAACGGTAAGTTCGGCTTGAATACCCTTGAAAGAGTCTCTTCTTGCCACACTCTCTTGAAGAGTTACACGCGCTTCTGCACCGCGTTGCTGTTGTCACTCTTGTTGTTTCATATAATCATTGTTACTACGATTGCTACTGGCATTTCGATACTGACTAGTACATCCTTCCACTGTGTTTGATAGACGTCCCCTGGCACACACGTTATTGCCATGATATTGCATCAGAGAGGGCGGATAGGCAAGTGCTATGGCCAGCTTGGATTTCGTTACTTACACGCGCAAGTAACGAAACTGACCCACAAACCCAGTCCGATTAGACTTAGGATAGATAAAACACTCTATTGGAGATACTATTCGATATGATTGCAATTAACGTACGCGTAAGCCTATTATTTCCAAAAGTACTATATTTGTGTATGGCTTGCAGTTCAACCACAGATGGAAGACGATCGATATAGCGATCTGAAATCGGACCATTTTTGACAGTTGCCGAAGCTCAGATGATTAATGCACAAGTAGTCAGTGGCTGATCAAAATGTCTGAAATTATCAAATAGAGTAAACAAGATTTGTTTAAGTATATTTCGAACGAATCTACGCTGGCTGAAATTGGTTCCTCTAGTGCCTAACACACTAAAGCGTGCACTCTGGAAAGTTTTAGTGCTAGGGAATTTCTGGATTTCGACATCGTGGAAACGCCTCCATTGTCATTCCAGATGTCAGTGATATAATAAGATCATATATACATAAATAAAAACGCTCGTCATACAAACAAAACTAAGACGAAATATTAGTTAAAAACACACACACACATATATTGGATCGAATTTTCCATACATTTCGACATCTTTCGGCCAGCAAAATAGCGGATACAGCTTTAGAAACTGTATTGGCAGGAAGGAAGGAAGGAAGGAGCGTGGTTGTACTTTTCTGCCAGGTTGAACAACTACGTAATAGGCGTAATCAATCATAGTGGCCAGATCGGCATAAATCACTGTAAACAAAAAGAATCAGCGTGACCTGAGATGTTTCGGCCTTCTCCGACGTCGTCTCCAGCACTTGTCTTAAGGCTCCGCTATTCCTTACACAGTTTGCATGTGTACATTGTATAAGTCCGACAATGATAGCGGATCGAGTTCGACCTTTTCGTGAACTGATTTGAAAGCCAATAACGGGAATTCATATATTTAGGAATATTACAGAATGATCTGGTCAACAATGCTGGATAAACGTACGTTTTCAACCATGTAACCTGGCTATTTTTACAGATCTAAAAATTGAGCCATAAGATCGTATTGCATTGGCTGAACGTATTTCAATATTTGTTCTGTAGTGGAGATGTTTATGGAAATTGAGTAGTGCTACAAGGTATCGCAGGCGTATTGCGTCTCCTGGATACAAATATCTGATGCTACAATGAGTTCTATATTTTATAGCATTGCTAGCTATAGTAGCTAGTACAGAATACCGTGATTTCATCAAAAACAAGGAGGATATCATTCCTGAGCCAACTAACGCGGTCGGGAAGATGTTTTGCCTACTACTTACTATAAGATAAAAAAAAAAAAAAAAAAACTTTAAGAAACTCCTATGGAATAAAATTCGTATTGAAATCAATATCGCCTGATTGAAAACATTAGATGGCTTATAATAGCTTGAAATACATAAAGCTTTTTTTCAGCTCAGATATTTTAGCACATAGTAATACGACTGTTATGCAAGGCTCTTCTAGGAGAGAGCTAGAACTATAATACGTTCGGAGAATAAAATAGTTGCCAATCCACACAAATAATTTTTCGGGTCTGAATGAAATTATAAAAAAAAAATGATGTCGCCATAAAACTCAAGCATTTATCACTTTCTGCTTATTATTCTCGGGCTAGCAGTATATATATATACACATATATGTGTGTATATATATATAATTGATCAGTTGAACTGAGAGGTCCGTGTTCTTGCTGGCAAAAATGGGGTTCTCTGACGGAAGAAGGAGAGTGACCACGGGCATAGCAAATCGTTGCAGTTTTTATGGCCACCGACCAATAATGCAAGCTTTGACTATGGAAGATAACTTTTGTCATCGAAGTCCTTTTGCCAAAGTCAAAGACGGATATGACATTATTGTAATGATTATTACTGGTCTGCAATAGCGAGCACGGCAGCCGCGGTAACAGACAAGACGACAACGAAGCTCGTAGTGATTGTTATAGCAGCGGCCACATTGACCACATCTTTATTACGAGTACTCGGATAGACGGAAAAGAGAAGAGGGGACAGAGGAGAGAGAGAGCCGGCAAAATGCGTTATCTGTCCAATCGACTGGACGCGCGATACGACACGAAGGGTCCGAAAAGCCGGCTACACACAAGTACATTTATCCATCAATACACTCGTCCATCTTTAGTCATTCCGTAAGTCAGTGAGTGGTCTACAAAGTTGACGATTCGAGACATACTCACCTTTGGCAGAGTCAAACAGCCCTGTCTTTCTGCGACGAAATGTGTGAAAAACGTGACAAGGCTGAAAATACAGTGGGAGAACGGGAAAAGGACTTAGCAGCAAGAGCGGAACGCAGTAAAAGTAAAGAAGGTGCACAAAGCAGGCAAAGTGCATCAGCTGCTGTTACCGTGCTTGTAAAAAAGGCTTGGCAGATACTGAGTCGAAGTTTCTGCCATCTGCTCGTTGAACTGCAGCAACAATGTTTATTGCGTCGGCTGATTTGTTTTGCCGCCATTACGCATGTTCAGTACCGCTGCTGCACTACTAGCGGGTAGGACCAAAGAGGCCGGAGTGGTTGCGTGAAGTACGTACGTCTGGCCCCCTGTGCACACACACGCAGCTAACCGGCTACATGTCGGTATATATTTTTGAAACTGGGCAGACTTGGATAGACACACGCAAAGAGGTGCACGTATATGTACACGTTGACAGACACATGGCTCCTACCTATTGTCTACCGAAAGAGTTGCCGGTCCTACCCTCCTTTGGCGTCCAGTGGCTACTAGTTCAGCGGCTGTTACGATGACATCAAAGACCGCTTTTTTCTCAACATAATCATCGTCATCATGACAAGTTGTATGTCTATTGCATTTTCTTCAGCTGTCATTCGACGCAAATGTCGTTCACTCTCTCGTAGCCTTCCGTCCGTCCTAACAAGTCCGACCATTAGTCAGCCGGCCGGCCAACCACGTGAGGCGGCACACGTAGACAAACCTGAAGTTGCGTAACCGCTTCAAAATTACAATGATTTAAATAATTAACACCACTATCAAAGCAGTAATGACAACATCATCGCGGTCAAGGTGCGCGTGAGACAATCGTCGTCGCTAATTCTTCATCGCATCTGTAATAATGGCTGCCCCGAGCTGGCTACTCGTTCTACTGCTCGAGGTAAAAAGTACAACTATTACATACGTTGTGATTCTGGTGCTAGAAAAGATATTATTGTTTGTCGTTTGCACCGTCCAGTTCATTCACGTGCATATATCTTGAGTATGGGGCGGCTCGAGGGCTACATCGACAATAGCAATGCGGCTACCTACGTATAACTGCAATGGCATTAAATTATTCCGGTACGGCTTTCAGTGGACGGCTGCCGCAACGTCATTATCCATTCGTGTTATTTTTACAGTACTTGTTATTATTAGTATGCTATGAAGTGTTTTTTTTCTTCCTAGAGTTTGTTCGTGTCGGCTGATACAGAGTTCTGACGACGCCAGCCTGCTCCTTAATACTATGACCATGCTTGATCATCGCTACTCCTTCATTTTTTGATATTGTCGCTGCCGCCGCTGTTATTATCGTTGTTAAGGCCAAAGAAACAACCATTGCGAGCATGGTTTTGTTTCAGAGCGGAGCCTCGTTAGAGTTTGCGTCTTCTTGCGAAGCAGCGGTACGGCGGACGGGTTCGCTGGCGTCATCGCTGCTTAGATGAAATGTAATAAGGTCGCTCACACCTTCTTTAGCGGTGGCCTATAATGAAAATAATCGCCAGTCGTGTACCATTGGAATATTCTCATAATGAAAGATTTCTCTAACAATTAAGCTTTAGTTGACATTTACACAGATCTCGTCTCTGACTCTGGACTATTCACTCATGTTAGACTCTGGCCTTTTTCCTTTCTCAGATATTCACATACACAATAACAATGACATAAAAGTGCTTTTATAAATCCTTTACGGACGTAGAATTGATTGTGAGTCGTGGTAAAGAGCTATTCTAAGTGCTCCGCCGAAAAACATAAGATACCATTTTCACTAATTTACGTATTAACGCGTAAGTAATTATGAAGCCAATCTGATAGTCTGAGTTTGACGTCCCGTATTGCCACTAGGCGTTGCTTGTGACGCACTAAGCTTCGATCCTGAACTATTTTTTAACCAAAATGCTTTTCCCAGACAGGCAGGCAGGCAGGCAGGTATGCTATGTGCAACGAATGACTTGACCGACTAGATGACCTATATATGCGTGTGTAACGACTCTGTTCGTAGTGAATGCTGTGTTCATCGACGTAGGCGACCATAGACCTATTTGGACATCATTTGCTTTTAGCTTCGATCAATCCGCTGCACGATGTGTGTCATCATCCGGTCATCTGTTCTCTGTTCAGTTGTCTGGCGACGCTGCCATTGTCGCCGACCGTACTACATGAACTAGAGAGCTACGAGCAAGCAAAGTAAGCGGGTATAGAGCAGAATGCACTCGACCCTGATGTACCGATGACGCTCAATGTGTCAAACGTGGTCACTGGCCGCACGCCGAGGGGTGACATCCTCAATATGGCCACTTTCAAACTCGCTAACTTTCCCTCCCTTCTACTATGCTCCTTTCCCCTAGCTCTGTTCCTTCATTCATGATGATCCTCCTGCCAACGACGATGTGATTCGATGGCTCTATATCGACGAGGGTTGAAAGGGATAGATGATCGACTTAAGTCCGTGACTGGTGAATGAAGCAGCAGCGGCAGAACCGCAGCACAAGAGCTGGCCAGGCGGACGCAGCGGTAGCGACAACCTTCGGCCTGCTGTTGAGGCTGGCGAAATGATGATTATGTGTGGCTTTGGGCCTGGCTGGGTCTAGTCCGGCTCTGGACGTGCGATTGCCCTGACTATGTATGACTGCTTTGCTAGCAGCAGCGGCGGCAGCGATAGGGGTAGGACTAGGCGTAGTTTCGGTTATCTCCGGGTGAAATGACATGAGTGGACTGGTTGGTAGTCGACTTTATGGGCTGACGGGCCAGAGGCATGAAGTCGATCCCCCTGTGAACAACTATGATCATCCCGCGTCCGTGCGCAGGGTCCGTGTTTGTAGAGTGTATAGACAACGGGACGAATCCGCTATGGCTTTTTGTGGCGTGGCAAAAAGCGCGACAGTGGTCTGTCTGAGCGTAGATACCAACGATCCGTGGGGTGGATTGTTACATTTGACTGGCCCGTCAGTACTGCGGTCCGCGAAGTAATCGACGGTAGTACACGCTGCCTCATGACCTGTCATTGGCGATCGCCAGCATCCGCCCTATGCTTCTTCCGTCCTCGCCACTTACGATATACTTGCGAATCCCTTATAGCCCTCACTGGTCGGTGGCCGACTGAAGAATAGGCAGTGTGCGCACGTCATGATGGCAGCGGCGCTCGAGTGCTGCATCGAATATCATTATGACACTGCGGAGGATAATTCCCTCTAGGTGGACTCGAGCCAACCTAGGTTTTCAAAGTTAGCCAAAACAAAAAGACCCTTGCCAGGTTCGTTCGATTGTGCATATCTTCATTGTCGGGCCAGTCCTGGGTTAAAGATGTTTCGACCGTTAGGAGTGTCGAGAACTTGTAAGCTTGAATAAGCATTGCCAACTAATTTGTGCTGGACACTAACATATGTATAGGGTATTTTGTTTCAAGTTGTGCCCATAGGTAGGGAGGCATTTTAGTGGAACCTTTAAGGTTGTGTAGTGTTATTTTTACCTGAAACCAAATTTTTATTTGCCGTTCGGAGAGACAGAGTGCGTGGGCGATCTCGATCCTTCGTCGCCGCGTTAAATATCTGAAACCACCCAGAAAAAAATCATTTCATTATTATATGAAATATTGTTGGATCTTTCTGCTGCTAGAAGAGCTCAAAATTGTCTGTAGTTTTAATAAACTATTCGAAATTGATTGTTGCCCAAAAAATGGCGTAATCGAGCGCAGTTTCAAAGCGTATAATTTGTAATTTGCAAGTCGAAACCTTTTAGAGATAATGGTAAACCCTCCTCGTGTTTTTATTCAACCTAACTGCATACTCCTCTAGTCAACCCGAAGCCATCAAAGGAAATGAGTGTCCTTTGAGGATATCCTGCAGTGCCGACTTCAATTACACGCCGAATTTTCCATTCCCCTCTGTAAATACGCACCCGAACTATAATGCCGAGATCACACGGCTTTTAGCTGGATCTGAATTTGCCTATTCGTTATGACGATTATGTGCTTCCATGTATCATCCTGCCTGTAGATAGTGAGCAGACGAGCATCAAAGCTTTTCCCTCGATGCTAAAAGTTGTCGCGAAATAAAAAAAAAAAACTACTCATCTAACTTTACTGCGCTTTCGTATTAGTCACTGTTGTCATCGTAACATCCCGGAGGCATATACAGTTTTTCGGTATTGCGCTTCAAAGTGGCTGCTAGACAAACAGAAGATCGACTTGGACGCGCTAGTTGATTGATCTTCTTCAAACAAATACAACTGTCTGACTGGCCTTATCAGGTAGACGAGCTATTTACCTTCGCCGACAGACTCAGCTCCAGATCCGAGGGTACAAAAGATAACCTCGCTATCTGCACAAGCGGATTCTCACACTGAATATCTTTAAAACAAAAGTTTAATGAAGATTGAGTTACTATGTCGTTTCGTACTGCGTCGTCGTAAGACTACAGTCTTACGACGACGCAGTACGATTGCTTACAGAGCAATCGGCCTGTACTCAAGCTTGAGCGGCTAATGTCAGATACCATATACGTTTCACACCCTTTCGACTAATGCTGAGAGAGTATTGCCGACACGTTAAATTCTACTTCACTAAAGAGTGTCCCTCTACAGATACGTCCGAGATTCGACCCGCGTGTCCATGGCTTCTGTGTCTCAATAGAATTGCAGAACTATCGGCCCACTTAGCAACGGCGCATACTCTGCACTTCCCTATCGCTCTTCATCGATAGTCGAAAGCTCACTGTCGTTGCGGCCTCAAATAATCGCCGTTTAGAACACTTAAATGCTTACCTGGTGGTTATATTTTAATTAATCTTAGATTCCGAATATATTCACTTGGATACAGACTGACATTTTTTGGATGCGAAGCTCTGGTCTTCCTACTTACATACTTGACGTCTATAAAGTTTTCCGGTGGATAATCGCCATAAGAATTATCATACAGCATCACGATATAATAGATGAACATTGTACATAACGGCTATACGCCAGTGCGCAGGCGTCCCTTCGCCCAAAAATGAGCATCATACATAAAATTGCTTACCGTGACGTTCTTCAAAATTCTAGAAATGAAAAAAATGGCCTATAAAGACACTACAGTGTATGTCTGCAGTCCGTACTGTTGAAAGATACTAGCGGACGTATTCGCAAAGCGATCGTTGCTAAGTTCGCTACTTCGAAGCGATAGTAATATTCTCAGACAGGTACGGTAATCTACTGTAAACGATAAAATATAAACTGGATCATGTTTGTATCAGAAGGTTGTTAACTTCCGCATAGCCGCCGGCCTTAACTTTGTGCCTAACGTAATCCTTGCTAACGCAGTTCGGTCGGCTTCACCTATACCAGGTAGCCTCAGCGGGCATCTAACCACAATAATAGCGGAAACACCCAGTAACAAGTGAAGGCGAACGAAATGTCTCTCGCTGGCTCGAATCAGACATTGTGACGGGCTGGAAGGTGTTTCGGCTTCAACTTCTGACGGCACTGTGTTCATGTCGAACGATTGTCTAGCGTTTGAGAAGTGAGAGATGGCGAGTCGGTAGTAGGTCCGATTTCGCCAAAAACATTTTTGGGGTGGCAGATAGGTAACTGTTCATTCGATTTAGATCTAAACCACCTAGCATCGAACGATCCGAAACGCAAGCGAGAAACACTGACCGGCCAGTGAGGTCTATCCGCCAACAGCGGTATAGTTGCCAGTGCATCTAGCCGCTACCGCTTGTTGAACAGTAAACACGCTGCTTGAGTCACGAACCATGACGCGGCTGCGGCAGCAGGACGATACAAGACGAGAAATCTGACAACAGAATAGTTGCGGTTTTTGCATGCCCATTCATTGCTATCGCTACACCGAACACGCTGCCGTCAATCGTTCTTCCTGTTCAAACCGCAGCTGCGAGGATTCGATAGACGGACAATTCCTTCATGGCGCAGTTGGTCATAGGAGAAGAAATAGATAGATAGATGCAAATATGTGGTCCGATATCGCGGTCGATATCGGTGAATTTCTATAGACCTACCGACGCGGTATTTTCCGTGGTTGATCATGTTATATTCTTCTGCTTCGTCATTCGGCAGCGCGGTTAGGAGTTCGAATTTTCGCCCAGAGTTCACGACGAAACATCACCACGCGAAATTCTACCTTTGCTCAACAAAAACACCAATCGATTATTTAACTTTATAGAAATGATCGCACAGACACACTGAGACAGCTAATTTGTGTCATTCGTTTTGTGTGTATGTTAATTGGATACATCTGTTTCATAGTATTTTTGTAGAGCAGTTAGTTCATGTTTTTGACGGAAAAGCCCGTTGGGCATACTGGACCGACATGGAGAAACAGCTGGATCTTGCTAGAGACTCGGCAACCTTTTGTCGACGACTTGAAGCGTTCACTAAGCAAAAAAAAATAAAGGACGCACTCCCATTCCCTTTTTCTCTTAGTTCAATTGAACTTGCAGACAATTTCGGAAGGCAGTCTGAACGATTCTGTTGACGGATCCACACCTACTCCTAGGACTGTCATGGCAGGTAGCTGGCCACCTCTGCACCTTTCCGTGGGTAGAACATCGAATCGAATAAGCAAAAAAAATTGAGGGTAGCAAAAGTTTACGCGGTTGAACCAAGTAGAAGCGGCCATTTTGGTATTGCTTCTGCTGAGGCAGCAGCCGAACGCACGCTGCAATGGCTAAAACGGTAGCAATACTCACAGTGGCCCAGCTACGAACTGCCGGGATGGCGGATTGCGATCACCACTCGACGACGGTACGGTGATCGCTTCGTAACGAAACGAACCGTGAAACTATCCCTAAAACCAGTTAGGCAGCCAGCCAGGGAGCTTTGCAGCCATCCTTACGTATCGCTGACGCTAGAGTGCGGGTGGGCCGCTGGAAAGAAGGGATAGACTTCTGTATATTAAGCGTCACTGCTAGCCGCGGTTTGTGAACTGTCGAATAGAAATCAGCTGGCGAGAAGCAGCGAGTTGACGACTGCGGATGCAGTTGGTTCACGGAGAAGATGCAAATATGGGGGTAGGAAAGTTGCAGGCGGATCAGTGAGTAGCGAAGCAGACGAATGGCAAAAAGACCCAGAGAGAAACCAGAGTAAACTCGCGTCAATATTTGCGCCAAGACAAAAAAAAAAAACAATCAGATAGGACATTTGGCAATGAAAAGCGTTGAAACGACCTAGAATATTGTTCGCAAAACGATACGACACCAAGACCAACACATTTGCGTTAGAGAATGCAACGGGAAGACACGAGTGGCACGGATTTCTGTGAATGATATGAACGTAGCTAATAAAAAAAACTCCGACTGTCCAATTCCTTTATCCATCAGTCCGTCAATGAGTTACTTTATTGATACACTTTTTAGGCGGCTATCAGATTCTGTCCCAAATTAATTTTTGTCTTGCAAAAATCGCAGCCCTTTCGTATTTTCTTCGGAGCGCCAAATGAGTGTATGTTATTAGTGAGAGCTGTGTTACATGTCTTATAAGCTTGTTGTCAATCTGAAATGTTTATGTAGATTTTGTCTCTCTTTTTTTTTGTTTTTAGACACGCAGCTTGTGTAGTACGTGCACGAGATTGTACAATCGTGTCTCTTTCCGGCGATATTACACTTGTACGACTGACCAATTATGTAAGCTATGCTTGAACGAGGCGACACAAATGAGTAGCCTACATTCGACAACTGAATCGTCGTTTTCTCGCCCTATCTGCTCCCTATGGCCATACAGTCGTTGTATTAGCTTAATTTAAGCGTGCGTAGATACATAATGCATGCAATACAATGGATTCATGCCTTTCCAATATTCATGTATATGTGTTTCGAGTGGCACGCATCGGAACAGAGGGCGGACTGCGTAGAGCTATTGCCAGCGAAAGGGCACATTGTTTTTGTGAATACATTGAATATACTTCCTACACACTTTTTACTTTCTGTAATACCATTCACCGTTAACTGAGTGGCTACCGTCCAAGCGGCAACATTGTCTCCTAACTACTGTGTCTGCCTACGATAATTTTACACTCGCAGTTTCCGCCATCGTCTCAACATGTGTTATCAACCTCCTGACACAGTTTATCTTCAGTTGATTTAATCATTGCAGTTCACCAAATGAATCGTGGTCTCAGTCGCCATTAACGGCGTCGGTGCCCAAGAGGTTTTCATGTAAGTCTAGCACAGTTGAGCAGAGCCTCGTGTCCGGCAACCGCCCAGCCAACTCATTGTCCACTTGCTTACTATCTATTCATCTATGTACGTGTGTATGCTTCTATTTCGCCTGCTACTCGAAAGTGTCGTCGAGAGCAGCACGTAATGTCCCCGCCCTATGGTCTTATTCACTAGGCCACTCAGAGGGCCCTTCAGTTTTTTTTTCGATAGCCGCTAGCTGCGCGACCGAAGGGGGCACTGCTTTTGCTTTTCTTCGTCCCCGTAGAGGGCACTGTAGTACAGCCCATGGTTAATATTTAAGCAGACGATGGGCTATAGCATACTGATACGACTACTGTAGATAGAGCCAACGACACGTCAGCCTCGGCGTCAACAGCAGCCGAAGCAGTAGGGACCAC